GATACAATAATAAAGGCAGTGTGGTATTAGTAGAAACTGGCCCTTGGATCAATGGAACAAAACAAAGAACCAGAACCGGATTCACATAAACATGCCCAACTGATTTCTGAGGTATGAAACAAATTCAATGGAGGAAGGACAGCTTTTTCAATAAATGGTGCTGGAGCAATTGGACACTACAGGCAAACAAAAACAAACAAAAAATCCTTTACCTAAGTCTTATACATTATAACTCAATAATATCTCATATATATGATACACTCATATAACAAATTAACTCAATGGATTGTAGACTTAAAAATGTGTAACATAAAACTATAAAACTTGCAGGAAAAAAACAAAAAATTGGGGGGATTTAGAGCTAGGTAAAGAGATCTTAGAGTTGATACCAAAAGCATGATTCATAAAAGAGAAACTTGATAAATTAGATCTCATCAAAGTTAAAATCTTCTGCTCTGCAAAAGACTTTGCTAAGAGGATGAAAAGACAACCTACCCACTAGAGGAAAATCCTTGCAAATCACATATCTTGCTAAGTACTAATATCTAATATATATAAAGAACTCTCAATATCCAAAAGCAAAACCCCCCACATAACCCCCCCAAAAAAGAAAAAAAAAAACAGACAAAAGATATAAACATAAACTATATGGATGGTCAATAAACACACAAATAGTCACTGGTCCCAAGAATGTTCAAAACCCAGTGGAGTAAATTCCATTAGTTTTCAAGGCCTGACAGTAATCCCCTGTGCCTTGAGACTCTACCTTCCAGGTTGGGTCTCTGCCCTCAAGGTCCATGGCTCATGGTCATTTGTCCTCTTTTCTTGAAGGGTAACGCATGTTTATAGTTGAGTATCTTGATCAGCCCATTTCCTGCCTGTAGAATTTTGGAAACCTGACAGCCTTGTTATTTCATCCTGTCTCTGTTCTTGTCAGTCCAAGCTAGCAGTGTTTCTGCTGATAAAAAATTTGCAAGGCCTTATGGGTTGTGGGTCTTCGTTTGTCACAGGGATCCACACAATTAGACAGGAGGCAGGACAAACTGCCTACACTCAAAAAAAAAAAAAAAAAAGCCATCACTGTTGGACAACCATCTCTATTCATTTCTACTGAGATGGTTGATTGGATCCATGAGTCACATCCCTAATCTCTTCAGCTAAAGTTGTCCAGGTACACCCTATCTCCAGAGCAAGCTTTCTCCAGTGAATCTCCTAATTTCAGCATCCTTTGCAGTTTGGATAGGCTAATTCCCCCAAATAATCAGACTTTGGTTCCTTTTTGCATAATAGTCACTTCCTCAATTTCTCTTTTCTTTCACATTTTAACTATAAGCAGCAAGAATACACCAGGTCCCACCTTCAACATTTTCCTTGGAAATTTCCTCAGCCAAGTATTCAAATTAATCACAAGTTTGCTTTTCACACAACTATAAAACACAATTCAGCCAAGTTTTCTACTATGTAATACGAATCATCTTTCCACCAGTTTCCAGTAACAGTTTTCTCACTTTCTTTTGAACCCTCACCAGAAACACTATTAAATGTTAATATTTGCAGTAACATTCTCCTCATGAGGATATACGTATCCTCTGAGAAAATAGCTTTCTCAATCTTGCTCTTTTCCTCCTGAGCCTACACCTTACCATCCCTAAGCCTAACAGTCTGTTTAAGGCAATCGAGGCTTTCCTATCACGTGGCTTAAAATTCTTCCAGCCTCTACCCATTGCTGAAATGCACTTCCACATTTTTAGGTGTTCGTTTTAGCAGAAACGCCATTTCCTGGTACCAAAATCTGTATTAATGTCCTGGAGCTCCCATAAAAATCATCACAGATTTGGTGGTTAAAACAAGAAAATTGCAGTATATTTATAAAGTAGCATACTTATAAAATTAAATTGAATGGACTTGATTTTAAATGGAAAAGTTAAAAATTATAAATTTAAAAACAGAAAAATCATACAGAAAACTTCGCTTCTGCCACTTTGAATTTTTGCAGGGACACTTAAGTAGGTAACATTTTATGGCCAAACATTTGCATAATCTTTTTTGCCCCTTCCCTCTTTAGCCAACTGAGATATATTACATCCCAGAGATTTGCATGAGGAGGGCTTACTATAGGATTGGGAGTAAGGGAAATGTAAAATGTGAAATATAGGTTTAGGATATTTGCTGTTTGTCCTACGGTACCAAAGGAGTCTGGGACTGGCCTGTTTTTAGTTTTCATTACAATGAATACAGTAGCAATGTGTCTCTTCTAATAACACCATTCCATCCCCTCCTATAAGTGATATATATTTTGGTGGGTATAGGAACTATGATAGTAGAGTAGAAATTGGGGGAGATCTTGGGAAATAGTTAAAAGCATAAATATGTAGAGATTCCCAATGATTACTATACAAATACTTTTGACTCGTTTATATAACCTCCTATACTGGAAATTCTCTGAGGTAAGAAAACAGCCTAGTCACCTGTGAGTTCATAATTGTATTTTTAAGTTTAGCCATTTAAAACACTGTCCGTTAGTGCACCAGATTTTCTAGTACCTCATACACAAGACCTATAAAACATGAATATTATGTACTATGTATAGCAATAAAATAAGTATATGCATACAGTGCTCTACTGAAAACAAAACATGGCTATTTCAGGACATAATTAGTAAACTCAGGAGGCAGGATAGCACATGTAGGAATGCTAGTTAATTTATTTTTATGACAGCCACAGAAATGCACAGGAGAGAAGAAACAAATTAGAGTAGAATATCCAAGAAAAAGTGACTCACACATTCCCAACATTTTTGGTTGGTTGAGGCTAGAACAGATTCAGTTATACCACTACCTCCCCGCTCACTACATACCCAGGAAAAAGGATAGGCTTACATCCTCAGTTGTGAGTATAATTCTTTTGTTAATTGCCAGTTGTTAGCATATAATATTTATTCATATACAAATAGATTTATTCAAATGAAACAATTACTAGATTCTCATAGTTATGAATACAGACCCTATGACTTACCTATTTATTTTATTCTAGTATGTTCAAAGTGCCCATACTCAAAAAACAAAACAAACCCCAAACCTCAAAAAACCCCAAATCCCTGTAAGCATAAATAATTATTTGTAAAGGCTAAATTCCACAATGTTCTGGCTGGTCAGACAAAGCATTATATTTTCTATGACCCTCTCAAGTCTGAATTTTTATCATGTCGGATTTTCCTTATCACCTACTTTTTTTTTTCTCTCAAGTTATCTGCAAGCATGTTTCCATTTATTATCCACTGGCAATTGCTGTCCCTTTCTGTAAGACAGACGGCCTCAACTGGGGGGCAGGGGAAGCTTATTTAAATTTCCACTGCATTTTATTACACAGAGTAACATTGTATACAGTAAATATATGTTATAAATAATCAGGGGCTTTCAGTAACACTGTTCCAGGTGCTGCTGAATTTACTATTTTCACAGAAAAGATGCTATAGATGTTATTGTTTTAGCAGATTTCCAATTCTCAAACATCACAATCTCTCCAGTGATTTTTCTCTCTTTTTAAAGATTTTTTTATTTGAGAGAGAGAGATAGCGACAGAGACCACAAGCAGGGAGGAGAGGGAGAAGCAGGCACCCCACTGAGCAGGGAGCCCGATGCGGAATCGATCTCAGGACCCTGGGATTATTACCTGAGCCCAAGGCAGACACTTAACCAACTGAGCCACCCAGGCGCCCCTCTAGTGATTTTTCATTTGAGAAGTTCAGAGACCCACACTTCCTGAGAAAAATCAAGGTATAAAGGCTTACTTATATATCTATTTCATAATTCTGTCTACAGTGACTTATTCTCCCAAATTTTACTCATCTATGTCACTTCTTGGCCTCCCTTTCTCTAGTATGAATTCTTTGATGTTGAATAAGGTGTAAGTTATGGCTAAATGTATCCCTATAATCATGACAACTGTAGGACTCCCTCCAATATGAATTCTCTGGTTTTGTGTAAGGTTTAAGCCACAGCTAAAGAGTCTTTTTAAAATTTATTACATTAATATATTCATGACTAACAGTCTTCTTACAATTATAACATTATATGGATTTTTTTAGAATTCTCCAGTTGGATGACTGCTAAAAGACCTTTCTCCACATTGCTTACAATAGAGCTGTTACTCTCCAAAGTGAATCAACTCATAGTCAGAAAGGTCTGAGATGTCTGGCAGTTATCTACCATAGCTGAAGAAACTTGCATATACCCATGGACTAATTCATCTTAATATAAGATTAACAGAAATACACACACACACATGAATATTTATAGCATTTATAGCAGTATTTTTATTACAACACAAAATTATAAAAAATACCAATATCCATCAAGAGGATAAATAGTGGTATATTTTAAAATGGAAGAGTAAAGAGAATGAAAATGAACACATTACTGCCACATGCAGTTATGTATGAATCTTAAAAATGTAGAGTGAAACAAGACACAAAAAAATTCATGACACATGATAAAACATACATAAAGTTTAAAGACATGCAAAGACTACTTCATGACATTATAAGCCAGGTACTTCGTAATCTTTGGGGAAGTAACAACTTTTTTATTCCAGAGCATAAGGAGAAATATATTTCATATTTTCTTTCTTTTATAAAAACTGATTTTATGACCATTTTGTATCTTGCCTCTGCATGTATTATGTAAGTACTTTTTAAAAAAATAAACTGAGTCAACAGAACTTGAAAACTTAAAAATTAGCTTCATTTCTGAGAGAGTTCAATAACAATGATCATACCCATTATATATGCTAGTAAACAGTAGTTATGTAGTTGGTACTTTAACTATTATTACATTTGTGATTAAAATTACCTTATTAAAATGTTTTAGCATGCTTTTTTTTTTTAACTAAAGTTTTACAATAACTTGGAAAGGCTTTACAAAGAAGTCACATCATTTATTGCATTTCTATGTCTTCTCCCTTGTGAGTTCTCTGATGGACAATGAGGTTTCTCTTATAACTGAAGGACTTACCACACTCATTACAAATATAGGGTTTCTCCCCTGTGTGAGTTCTCTGATGTACGATGAGATTTGTCTTCTGGCGGAAGCACTTCCCACATTCATTACATTTATATGGTTTCTCTCCTGTATGAGTTCTTTGATGATGAATGAGATATGATTTCCTGCTAAAGGCTTTCCCACACTGAGGGCATTCATAGGATTTCTGTCCTGTATGTATTTTCTGATGTACAGTGAGAGTTGCTTTCTGGCGAAAGGACTTCCCACATTCATTACAGATATAGGGTTTCTCCCCTGTATGAATTCTCTGATGTAGATTCAGATTTGTCTTCTGACTGAAGGATTTCCCACATTCATTACATTCATATGGTTTCTCTCCTGTGTGAGTTCTGTGATGATCAATGAGGTATGACTTCATCCTAAAGGCCTTCCCACAGTGAGGACATTCATAGGATTTTTCCCCTGTATGTGTTCTCTGATGTGCCACAAGGGTTGTCTTCTGGCGGAAGGACTTCCCACATTCATTACAAATATAGGGTTTCTCCTCATTATGAGTCTTCTCATGAAGAGCGAGGGTTGTCTTCTGGGAGAAAGATTTTCCACATTCATTACAAATATAGGGCTTTTCCCCTGTATGAGTTCTCTGATGTACAGTAAGGTTTGCCTTCTGATGAAAGGACTTCCCACATTCTTTACAAATATAGGGTTTCTCTCCTGTATGAATTCTCTGATGTAAAGAGAGTGTTGTCTTCTGGCGGAAGGACTTCCCACAGTCATTACACTCATATGGTTTCTCTCCTGTATGAGTTCTCTGATGACGAATGAGGTGTGACTTCAATCTGAAGGCATTCCTACACTGTGGACATTCGTATGATTTCTCCCCTGTATGTGTTCTCTGATGATCAGTGAGGGCTGTCTTTAGGCGGAAGGACTTTCCACATTCATTACAAACAAAGGGTTTCTCTCCTGTGTGAGTTCTCTGATGATCAATGAGATAGGACTTCCTTCTAAATGAATTTCCACACTGATGACACTGATAGGGTTTTTCCTCTGTGTGAATTCCCTGATGCAGAATCAATACTGACTTCCTGCAGAAGGACTTCCCACATTCAGGGCATGTATGTTTTTTTTCAATATTGGTTGCTCTTCTCCTTTTATTATACTCAGATGGATTTTCCCTTCTGTAAGCTCTATTATGTATAATTAAGCCTCCCTTTTTAAGGAAGGCTTTCTCACAGTCATTATATACAAATGACTGTGCTGGAGTTTCCACCTTATGATATTGCATAAGTACTTCATTATGACTGACAGCCCTGCCACGTTGATTATGGGATTTGACTCCAGGTTGAGCTGTCTCCACTTTAGTATTGAGGACTGATTTCCCATATCCATTATACTCACTAAGTCTTTTTCTTGCAGGACTTAGATTACTGATGATTAATTCTGAAACATTTTTAAAAATCTTTCCATGACTGTCATATTCAGGAGGTAGATTTTTTGAATTAATAGGGTTTTTGCTTAAAGTAAATGTCTTTTCATATACATTACTGTTTTCCTTAATCAGTTTTTTGTGGTTGATGAATACAACTGATCTAGAAAACTTATCTTGGTGTTCCTTGAATTTCACTAAAAAGTCTTCCTCTTTCCAATTTTCTTCTACAAAAGAATATAATTAATAACAATTTGTGAATCTTCACATATTTGCTATGGAAAGAAGTTGTACTAGTATCTAGCATATGAGATCAAGAAAGACCCAGGACAAATTACTCCGTGCCTGGGAAAAGACACAAAACCTAAATAAAAACTATGCCTCAGTGTGGAAAAAATAAAAAATTAAGCAATGTACATTAGCCAGTTTTGCACTTTGTACCAGAACTTCATACAGAAAGTGAAACAAATACACCAAGCAGTGAGGAGAAGACAAAGATTGGTGAGAGACCGATGCTTGGATAGGTGGATTCAGAAGCAATGAAGTGAGTCTTTCAAAGACAATAAACTTTAAGTAGGATGGACAAGAAAAATTAGAAAAGCTTCTTCAAGAAAAATACTAGAGGAAGGATTACTTTTGGAGAACACAGATCAGAGCCTGTATTTTTATACATTCATCCCTAGATTGTGAGGCAAAACACTTCCAGTTGTTCCACCACCCCTTTCCATGTAGCTATCAATGGCTAATTAATCTTTCCAAGTATCAATTTCCTAGTGTTTAGGGAGACACTTTTTCTAAAGAGATACATTTTAGAGAGAAAGAGTACACATGCAAGTCAGGGGACAGGGAGAGAATCCTCAAGCAGACTCTCCAGTGAGTGCAGAGCCTGATGCGGGGCTTGATCTCAGGACCTTGAGATCATGACCGGAGCCAAAATCAAAAAGTTGGACTGTCAACCAACTGAGCCACCCAGGCGCCCCTAGAAAGACAATCTTTTTTTTTTTTAAGATTTTATTTATTTATTTGACAGAAAAAGAGACAGCGAGAGAGGGAACACAAGCAGGGGGAGTGGGAGAGGGAGAAGCAGGCTCCTCACCGAGCAGGGAGCCCTATGTTTGGCTCAATCCCAGGACCCTGGGATCATGACCTGAGCCAAAGGCAGATGCTTAACGACTGAGCCACCCAGGCACCCCAAAAGACAATCTTATAGCCTAGGCTCTAATCCCCCATATATCTGGGAATCATTTTCTCTTGTGAGAAAAGAGCTAAGAAAATACTTCCAACAGGAATTATAAAACTGACTGGGGGTATATTTACTGGCATATTCATATTGCTATTATCTATCCTTCTAGGATGGTTCAATAACAAAAATCTCATGACCATCAATTATAACTATTCCTCTCTGCAGACTTACTTTTTCAGGTTTAAAGACTGCTGCTGCAAGTCTTTCCCCAATATAATAACTTCTCTAAACTCAGTTTTCCATAGCTGGACAAGATTAGATTGTTCATTCTCATTCTAAATCATTAACTTTAACCTTCATTTCTCTTATAATTTTGTAGCTATGTTTGACTTCTGTTACTCTGCAATCATCCACATCCAATAGAACAATGTTAAACCTAGGTTTTTTTCCTTCAGTCCATTACCCTCAACACGAACATACAAGGAACCTCTGTAAACAAGACTTTAAATCACCTAGATTCACTTTTTATACTCAAACAAGCTTTCAGTGTTGTCCACGTATCTGACAAATCTCACACATAACAACAGTAAGGCCTCATATTTATTGCCTTATAAATATCTCACTTAATCACATGCTTTGCTCATGTTCTTTTAATCAGTTGGCTTGCCTTCCAGTCTTATTTCTGCTCATATTTAGATAATTTTCAAGAAAATGCTATCATTCAATGATATGAAAATTCCTTCACTTATTTCCCCCCCCCACTTTAAGCACTATTTCTTTATAACTTGAAAATGGTTATCGTCTAGGAAAGTCTTTTTAACAAATCTTTTTACAAGCTTAATCAAGTTATAAATATTTCATGAAAAATGCAGATTTTGATAGTAATCCTTTTTCATAGAAAAGAATACTTTATTGGTTATCTCCTTTGAACTCTTCTGAGTGTACATTAACACTGTGTATCCTACCTAGATAGATAGTGCTTGGCAGAATTCAACCATTTCAATCAGAATCTATACAGCGATGGCCTGAGCAGGTACATCTGAAAGGAATTACCAATATAAGTTTTCTGAGTAGAGGAAAATATACATCCTCTGTATAGCTCCACGGTTAATGAAGCAACTACTGAATACTTAACGTATTATATACTACAGCAAAAAAGATTCGAACAGAGGATCTTATCCTCTTAAGGAAAGAATCCTTAAATATAAACCATGTATAATCAGGTATCAAATTATATAACCATATCTAAGAGTTGTGTTTTAGTTAGTAGGTAGCATGGGAATTCAGAAAAAGAATGTGGAGTAGTTAAGGAACAGTTTATGGAGAAAAAAATCTCAAGACTTAACTTAAAAGATATATAGTATATGAAAGGGAGAACACAGCACAATGAAAAGTACATACATCTTGACAAATCATAGATGTGTGGAGAACACTGAGGAGACTGGATCAAGTGGAAATTACCAAGTTTTCCACAGGGAGAAAAATAAAGGTGAAAAGACCAAATGAAGGCTTATTTTAGTAGTCCTTGAATCAAGAATTTCAATTTCGTATAATAGGGAACAATAAATTGAAAGAGTTAAGACAAAATTAGAGGAAAGCCAAGATGTAATTATTATAGTCAAGACATGAAATAAGGTAACATCATTTTGTATGACATGAAAATATGGGAAGATGTAAATATATCTCACAGGCTGATAAACATAATACAAATTGTGAAGAGATTCACAAGAGATGGTGATAGAGACAGAAAAAGCTGGTATCACGGTAGAAATAAAATAATTTGGGAATAGATAATGAGGAAGAATTTAAAAGCTAAGCAATTTCATGATTTTCATTTCAACATAATGTCACAAAATAGATGAAACATCAGAGTGCAGAACTCCTGAAGTACTACAGTGAAGGTGGGAGAAATGTGCTGAGTATGTCAGTGTTAGAGACATCTACATAAAACAAAGAGCTTCAGTCCTCAGAATGGATGAGATTACTGTAATTTAAAGGCAGATCCCTTGAGGTCAAATCAGAGAAATAAGACTGAGAGTCTAGTGAAACAATATACACTTAAAAATATATGTATCAGTGACTATTACATGCCAGGTATTGTTCCAGGCAATATGGCCAGTAATGAAGAAAACAGACCAACTTGGAAATAATCACAAAGGGAATCAGGATAAGAATAAGTAATGTTTTACCCACACCAAGGGTTGACTTCAGGTATGATGATCAGCCATATAAAATGAACCAGAAAAGTTTACTGGAAGAAAATGATTAACTGTGGAATTATCAATCTAGCCAAGGCAAGTGAGTTTTAAAACCAACAGCTAGATTTGTGGTGAGAAGGGGAGCTTATTAGACTTAGCACAGCAAACAAATCTGAGGTAATAAAAAGAAAAAGAAAAAAAATGGAAAGCAGTGAGAAGAAAACATTAACCAAGAATATTCTCTTCCTTAAAAATAGATTTAAGAATGCCTAAAAGAAATATATACAACGGCAAGAAGATAAAGGACTGAGGCTAGAAAAAGACATGAATCAAGAAAAAAGATCTAAAGGAAGGCTTATAGTACATTTTGATTGAGTGGCAACTATCCTTGATAACATCAAGCAAACTAGAAAAGAATATTATATCAGGAAAATGATATTTGAAAGTTTAAATTTTGCAGGCATGATGATTATTTAAAAGTTTAGGAGCCTTTAAAAAGACAAAATATTTCAAAGGTGCCACCCACCACATGACCATTTTAAAATTTATTCTCCAATAGATTTCATCCACCTGAAGAGTCAGAAACTCACCTAAGCAGGCATGACCTGTAAATGATGTCCATGGCTCTTCTCCTCGTTCCAACTTGAGGATCACATCAGGTTTGGTCATGTGACACCCTGATAAAAATTTGTATTAGGTTGCTTAGGCTTCAATACATTTGAAAAATTAGTACAGTACATTTTCAATGCAAATTAAGATACTTGTTCATGTAAAAGAAAATTTAACATCTTGTTCTGGGTAAGTACACAATTATCCTTTCTGTTAACAAATAATTCATCACCTCTTAAGCCTCAAATTCAGGGCATAATTCAGGCACTTTGAAAGGAAATGTATACTACTGAAAGTTTCAAAGAGAGTTTTTCTTACCCACAGAGATGAGATGGCAATAGTTTTCCAACATCACATCCATGTAGAGAGTCTTCTGAGCAGGATCCAGGTGCTGCCACTCCTCCCGAGTGAAGTCCACAGTCACATCTTTGAATGACACTGATGCCTGCAATGGATTGGAACTATGATCAGAGTAAGCTGATTAGATACTGTGGACTACTTTTGATCCTGCTCCTTTGAGGCATTCATATGAATATAAAGAAAGCCAATCATTTTTGTCTTGTTATTTACATAGTAAGATAAAAGTGAAGGCAGAAGTACCTGTCACTGAATTTATTTAATAATTAATTCTAGGGTGCCTGGGTGGCTCAGTCGTTAAGCGTCTGCCTTCAGCTCAGGTCATGATCCCAGGGTCCTGGGATCG